TATGTTGTTGACTATGGAATTTATATGTTTATAAGGCTTTGTAATTTACCATGCTGTTCGGCACTAGATTTCACGGCACACGAATGACCCAGCGAGCGCCGTCGCATTGTATCGAGGCAAAATAACGAGGCAAAATAACGAGGCGACGCAGCACATCTCGGCCTTTAGAAGCACCTGTTTTCGGCATTCGATTTCACCGAATTTAATCTGTAGGTAAAGACCACAAAGGCCATTTCATGTAAGCATGACTTGGTCTTTCATAAAGTAGCAAGAGCATGTAGGCCAGGTGAGCCACGGCCGTGGCGTCCGCTTCTTCTGATAGAGAGCAACATAAATGACTAATGGTGACGCATGGGAAATGAGTTTTGAGAAGCATTCAACCCAACCACTTTTTGCCGCCATCCTTCACCACAGCCTGTGTTTGCTTTGATGGGAAATCTGTTATTTTGAGACCACGCTAAAAGCACCGTTGAAAAACACAACAATAATTTTTTGAAGTTGTCAATACATGATTTTTAATTTAACTTTTCAGCCGGAAAGTTGGACGAAAAGACGGAAAGAATATGGTTCGACACGTTCTGCACATCCTGCCCTCGTCACTGGCTGACGCGCCTTGTGCCACTGTATCCCAAGGCCTGGCAATTCAAATTCCAGGAAGAAAATCAACTTTGAGCTCCGCAGGGAGACATCCTATGTACTGGATGCAACACAACACTTATCTGCCTCACCGAACATCAGATGCAATTCGGCTAGCACAATTCAATGGCCATGTGCAGAATCTTCCCGCAGCATCATTCGCACCGCTTTCCTCTCGAATAATCAGCCAATCAGCGATTAGCGTCGCATTTTATCGCGCCGCTGCATTTCGCATGCGGTGGCGTTACCATTGATCGCATGTTGATCTAACAGTGGGCCGGCACGATCGGCAGCAGCCAATAATAAGCGGCCCGCCCGCCCGGCGACAGCGGCGCTCATTTAGCGGCGCCGGCGGTGAGTCAGCGTCGAGTGTGGCGCGGCGTGCCAAGCATCACATCGAGCCAGACGATAGCGGCAATACCCCCGCCGAGTGCTGCCATTGGCCGTGACGCCAGGCGGCCGCCTCACGATGCAGGAAGGCTTATCGGAAAGGACTGAGCGGCGGGGGATGGTAGGAATAGTTGGCTGCCAAGGTCTAAATCGTGACACCATCCAAGGGCAAACATCTATTCTCGTTAGTTTGCTGTTGCGAAGCCCGTCACGAGCGGTAGTCTGTTTACTGTGCAGCTTATGTATTCTGTGTTGTTCCTGAGGATTTTCCGCCAGTTGGGCTGTGTTCCGCCACACCCTCGCTGTTGTAATCTGGTTGGCAGGAGCATTGTTTGGCGAGGATCTCGGCGTTTATAAACGCCTGTGCTAAATCCCCGGCGGCACGAGCGAAAACTGCGCGTTTAACGACATTGATTCATCCTAAGCACTCATTTGAATGCATTTTATTGTTATGCACCGCTCGGGGCAAAATATGCAGCGAAGCATTTCTAAACTGGAATGGACAAGCCAACCTAATGCTTAAAGGGACGTTCCATGTTTAAAACATTGAAGCAAGCATCAGAAATGGTGAAATAAACTTGCAACTATTGGTGTATTTTTAAAAAGAAGAGCCAGTTGTAGACAGCATAAATTTTCTATTTAGTAAACGTGTTCTCCAATACGTAATTCTTTGACTGCGTCATGGAGCGTTTGTATGACGTTGAGGCGCTTCCAACCTAGCCGTGCGAGGTTACCGCTTACCCGTAGTACTTCAAACTTGCCGAGAGGTGGCAGTGGTGGTGCTGGATGTGTTCGCTAAACCACCTATCGTTGTGTGCCCTTGTTTTGATCCCCTCCCGTGGTGTTTTATATCTATCCGTGAATTTTGATGTTTAGTTGTATTGACAGACTCAGTTCGGATGGAATTCGTAGCCTATTTGACTAAGTCTTTTTTCAAAATAAGTATTGAATGAGGAAACCATGTTTAGCTTCTCCTAATATGTAGCACAAAACGTGATTCATGACTGAAGCTTGCACAGTTTACTCAACATTGTTTGAGAGCCAATTGGCGTCAAACATGTTTAGAAATCCTGTTCACAGGCGCCAGATCTAAACGGTTGGACGATAATATTTTCCCTGGCTTTGAACGTCCCCTGGCCTCTGGAGTAGCAGGATTTGAATGACGTTGCTACGGAGGCATGTATGCCCGAATCGCCTTGAAATAGTTTGCAGATATGTGCGGGCTTAAAGCTCAGCAACTGTGCAGATATGTGCGGACGTGAAGCTCAGCAACTTCGCAAATATGTGCGGGCGTGAAGCTCAGCAACTGGAGGGTTTGAGGTCTGAGCAGGGCCGTGAACTGCGTCAACTGGTCTTTAGAACGACTTCGTCGGCTCAGAACCCCATACAAATGTGGAACACTTCCTGTAAGGGGATTTCTGGGAAGCCTGGTACTAAGCCTGTGCACAAGAAGGGTGTGCATAGCGCAGGAATCCCTGACACACATGTATGTGCACCTCCTTACGCACCAGATCAAGGTTTCGCTCCAAGCAAATAAGCTCCCACAGGGCCTTTGCAATATCACAGTTATTTTAATTTCGTCCACTTCGTACTCGGTAATAGGACATGAGCACGCCACATTCCGCACTTCATGAGCTGTCTTCCAGCCTAGTCGTGAGATGCCACGGAGTGGAATCCCTGGAGACAAGAGTCCAATAGATCCTGAATGTCATAACTCGGACGCGTAGATTAAAAACACATAATCAGATTCGTCACGTGATGGTCAGTAGCGTGGTTAGTTTGCATCGTGCGATAAGCTTTAGCTGTGTTCAGTGCAGGTCAACGGTTACTTGGTCTGCGGCAGCTTATGCGTTATGAGCTAATTTGATGCACATTGCGGATATGGCTATAGTTTCCCGAACCGTCAGTCCTAATCAGCCGGCCAAGAGTGCCTGGCTTGCCGTGCCATTGACACAAACAGCCAAATGCACTTGGAATATCGATTCGGTCCTGCTAAAAATAGCGCGTGATGGAATAAAGGTTCATCGTGGAGCTTTGTTGCTATCGCAGTGTATGAATAGTTTCATAAAATATGGCAAGGCACACTTTTTGCAACCTGCTTAATCGTTTATCTGCGAAGTACGGCAGCGGTCATTTTTCGAGCTTCCTGAGCGCTTGAAGAGTCATGAGCATTCTGATGGCACCCTGACCATCTAAATTGATGCCACCCTCTGTCGTATCCTTAATGGTCATCAAAATCGCTGTGAGACTCTCTGGCTGTCTTCGAGATCTCTGTCATTGCTCAGCGTGCCCCAAGTCCCTGCTGGCCTTGTCTGAGCGACTTGACGGTCCGAAAAGTAAAGCTGCAGCTCGAGAGCTCCCTGTGTTTCTAATTTTACCCGGCTTTGCCTCTGGTCCACACATGCTCTGCGTGACGAAGACGGATGGGCAAGCGCTATGGTGACGTTAGAGCTGGCTAAAGCGCCGCTGCGGTGGCTTACGTCGGGCGCGCGAGAGTCTCGGCGACGTGGGATTTGGATGACCCGGCTGCGGCTTCCAGGTCACTTGCCAGCCGTCTGGCGGCGCGACGAGCGGCCGCCCGCCGCGGCGTGCCCGAGCACCAGATCGATGCCAATGCCATTCGGCCAGCATGCGACAGGGGACCTCGCTGGCCCCGATGGCCGAGCAGCTCTCTGGGGGCCTGTGTTGTGTCGTCCCGGGGGCGCCGAAAACACTGGGGTCAGCCCTGTGAAGGAGGGTGGAGAGGGTCAGGACGGTGTCAGCGCAGGCAGCGGGGCACGTTCAGAGGGGTGCGTACGCAGGCTGCCGTCTCGGACTTGGTGCCTAGCAGCTATGTTGCTGAATGTGCACGGTGAATGTGGAGGTTTGGTGCACGTCGACGTGATGTGCTCTAAAGTCGCTAAGGCTCCATGGTCCTCTCACACAGCAGGAGTATAGTTTCTTACTCAGTAGGTGGGTGTTCGCCTCTCCCCCAACTTTTCCTCGAGTCTTCCTCGGGAGGCCATTTTTCTTGCTGAGCTCAACCATGCCGGGATGTGTATCAAAATGCATTAGCGCATTTGGTAAAATTACGTGCTTACCATGATTTAACTTGACGCATCTGCCTACGTCGGCCAACACCTGTGGTCCATATTTGCATGGGCTTATACGAAGATATCTACGAATCCCCCTAGCAAGGAAGCTCGGATGCTTAGGTAATGGATGAAGTGGAGGTTCCTGGAACTTTCTGGTTAAAACAGCTTTGCTCCCGTCATTATTTACGCTGACTACTTCCATGACGTTCGTTTCTTGGCCTGCGTCTCCCTGCTCTGACCATCGATATAGCACCTTCGCGTATGGCTGCCCGCGACCCGTGCCTCCTCGTAGCGGCGCCCTGAGACCCGTACCTCCGTGTGTTGGCGCCCTGCGACCCGTACCTCCGTTGTAGCGGCGCCCTGCGACCCATAACTCCGTGTGGCAGTGTCCCACTACTCGTACGTGCGCGTGGCAGCGCCCCTGCTACTCGTACCTCAGGTGTGACGGCGCACTGCGACCGACTCGGCCATGCTAACGAGCCGCCGCCAAGCGGACAATGATTCGCAACCGATGCCCGGTCCGGCAGCGATCTGTTTGTGCACGTCACTGGCCACACAGCCCGAGCAAACAACCCGGGTGAGCTCGCTGGCGGCGCCTGGTCGTCTGACGGGCGCACGGCGCGTCCGCTGCGGCTGCTGTGGCCCGCTCGACGGATGCCTGCCGTCACTGGCCGATGTGTTACGGTCCGGTGAATGGTGACCACGGCAACGGAGTGACACACCGGCGCCGCGCGTGTGTGGGCGTCCTTGGACCGGACGCTGTGTGTATTGCTCCATGTGCTGGAATGCGTGCGCTGCACGCGTACGCCCCCTCCATTCCAGGTTCCACGCCTCGTGTCACGGGACGGGCACGGCCCTCGACCCGGCGATTGACCTCGTCTGACCCGGCCGTGTCGTCAGGGGCCTCGGTGCCGGAGCAGGTCGGAGGTCGCGAGGAGCCGGAGCCCACGCCACCGCTGGGGCGGGACGCCGAGCAGACGCTGCTGACCCGCCTCGCCAAGCTGGAGCTGCTCGACGCCAAGCTCTCGAAGATCGACGTGCTGGAGAAGGTGTTCCACTTCGTCCAGCTAGACGCCAACGTGGCGCGTATCAGCGAGCAGGTCAGTCGTGACCTGAGACACTCGCGGCTGCCGGTCAGAAGGCTTGTGGGCGGCGATAGCCACCGTGTCTCGCCAATGCCTACCTCCCGGACGCTTAAATTGGCCTACGGTTGCCATATATGTCCGTTTCAGCCATTTCACAGAGTTTTACAAGTCCATAAATGTTGTACGGTTGCCAACGAATTAGCATATATAACGAGTTATTTAGCAGCAAGGGTGTTTCAGGCTACAACCGAGAAGAGTTCTCATTTGCAAACATGTGTACCCAATGCCCAGGGTATCCAAGAGGATTAAGAGCATGGTAATCTACATAATATGTGGTGTGACGATGTTTTCTGAATGCGGAAATGCACGCATGACAGTGCACACGGCGACTGCGTGTTTTTCTTTGAGGCAATCTAACTGGCTTGCGTTTGCAAGGTGCGTGTATATTCAGCCGTATATAAGTTATTTAGCTGATGCCCTATGGGGTGGAGGGTCCTCAGACCCCCCCCCCCCCCCCCGCCCGCCCCGCTTTAAGGTTTTTCGGCAACAACGTCCGAAGGGTCTCGAGCACGGTGCCGGCATTTTGAGTACCTGATGTAAGAACATACTTTCAAGTCTAATGAAAATTTGAAGTTTCTAACCTCGACAGCCCGTTGTATGTAACCGTGTACGTGAGTCATTGGGTCTTTACGACGCACTCAGCTACTGAGGCTTTATAGCGTCGCCTGCCTTTCATCCGGCAGGAAGGGCGGCCACGGCGGGTGATTGATCCTCGTGACCCTGTTTCCCAGATGCGTAGCGTTGCGACCACACTTTCGGTACGCCATCTTTTCTACGCCACTTTCTATAATGGGTTGTCTCGAGGCATTATGGGTGGCATTTTGCTCAAGGGTGACAAGAAACGCATATCTTTCGCTCGCAAGAAATACGCTCTAATGAGGGTTTCTTGGCTTCTATTTATGTCTTAGTCACCTGAAAGTGCACTAATGTTAATTAGGTGACCCGTGCAAAGTCAGGTCATTCAATGTCAGATTAGGCCAAATTTGCACTTTTTGGGTCAGACTGGACCATTTAAAAGATCACGCAATGCAAACATTTATAGAACATGTCTAACGAACATGGAAGGTCTTTCGCACTGAGTTTTCCCCACTCATTTGGCTCGCTTATTTCTTGCTATAGGCAGACGGGCCAGTACAGCCATCGCCTACCTGCCTTTCACATGGCGTGACATGTCTCAGGCTACATGCGCCAATGGCTTGAATATAGTAATAAGGATGTGTTGTATTACTTTATCCACTTTGAACTGGTTTGGGCCGCCAGTGGTCGCGTTCACCAGTGTTCAGACACACCTGTCTGATGCGATTTACAAGAGTTTTCCAATGTCGTTGTCGGGTGTCTCTGGCTTTCTTGGTTGTCAATGTCTTAGCGAGAGGTCTCTGAGGTCCCCCTACCTGGTGGGTCGAGGGTGAAAAGCTCCTACAGGGTGAGGGTTGACATGCAATAGATGTACGAACGACATACCCACAGCACAAATATGCACTAACAAATCCAGTTCTTCATAGATATGTGCTGCATCCATGTGTGTGTTTCTGTCCGTGTGTGTTGATTTGTACAGAGCAGCCAGCTGAACAATGCGGAATTAGACACCTGTGCCTTTTGTACCCGTTTCGGAATCTGCTTTCTTTGTATCTGCCCCTGGAAAATGACGAGGTGTGTGTGCGAATGCGTCGAAATAACTACACAACGGTTCACCTAACTTCCTAATGTAGTCAGATACCAGAGCGGCCAAAATCATTGGCAGAAACATAACGAAGATCCAGGTTTTTTTGTTTTTTGCCAGCACACAGCGTTGGTCTTGATGTTTACATATATATACATATATATATATATATATATATATATATATATATATATATATATATATATATATATATACATGCATTATATATATATATATATACATACATATGTATACATACTTGATGATATGATGGTGTAAACATGCCAGTTTAGAGTATGTGTTCTTTGCCTCGACACAGCACAGCTGGTTTACGTTCCAACAATTGATTTTCTTCCGTTGAGAAGGATGTGTTATCCCGCTCATGAGTCATGCTTATAAGAATCACGGCAGGCGGCCAGAGCCGCACAGTTTATCAAGCTACACTGACTTAGATGAGAACAAAGAGCTGTGTCCGCTGCGGTAACAAATCAGTGTCAAGGTTTTGCCATTGGCTGCTTTGACCGAGTTCCCAACAGCAAAATCCAATGAGCTGCCTCAGAGACTTGTAACACGGGCCCTGCAGGACGTTGGGGCTTCTGGTTGACAACAACATTGGCGGCTGGGGTGTCGAAGCTACCCACCGTGCTGTGCTTGTTTTTGCCTCAGCTGTTTTGGAGGCCAAATGGGGACTCGGCTCCACTACTTCAGTTCGCGGACGACTTGAGAGAAATTCCCACCAGCCGCACGAATATTATCCGCGCCCGCTGGCACTATTTGAGTACTTTAGAGAGAAGGGAGGTCTGAAAAGGCCTCCCCGCATTGGCTGAATGCTGGAGCTCATTGCAAGTTCAGGCGGAGAGGCAGCGCAAGATGAGATGAGGGATGCTTGTTTTGATCCAGGATTTGCAGTAGCAGCTCTTTCAGGACAAAACAAGAATTACGCTCTGTCTTTATGTTCATCATTTGTAGAGGGCGTTGTGCTCATCGGCATGAATAGCAAAGCATGCGGTTTTCTTGACGGGATTTGAATATAACAGCAAGGAAAAGAAATATGCCAAACATCGATGAGCTAGGTGCGAGGTCAGACAAAAGTCGACGCTCGTTATCCTGGATAGAAGATCTGGACGGACAGTTCGGCGATCGTTAACTTCAGTGTACGGATGCGTTACCCGTATGGCGGTGAGGAAGTGCTGACGAAACCATGCCCGATGCCTGCGAAATATTGCTAAGCCAACTTACGAGCAAAGAGGACCACCCCTCACGTCCAACTGTCGCCACTGCACGAGAAATGCAGGTCTCGGGCCAGACAGGTCAACAACATACCAATGGTCTTTGGTGTGGATGACACCAGCGTTAGCATTCGACGGACTGGCTTATGTCAGCGGGACTGACAGCCCCAGCTTGGCAACCGTCGACGAGACGCATGATTCACTTCGTAGCGTTGAATTAGTTGTCCCCATTAAATGATATGCCTGCGTGGACGGCTGTCTGCAAAAGTCGACGAATAAATCAATTGCGCAGCTTTGGAAAGTTCATTGAGGTTCTTAGCATTCAAATGGTCGTTTTGACTGGCTCTGCCCGGCATTCGACCGTGATCAGGAAGCCAAACTGTATGCTATTAATTCGAAACCGCTTTATGAATGAAGAGCTGCCCGAACGGAAAGTACAGGGCAGCCCCGAACCCAGCTACCATGAATCCCAAGGCCACTGCCCAGCTCGAGCGGGCCCAAGCCCAGGAAACAGCGCCCTACGCCTGCCAGCCCGGCTGCCTGGCGGGAGTTCGGGATGCCGGTCCACCACCACGCGCACCGTCCGTGTCTAAGTTCATCAGACCGGCGAAACCACCGCATTATCGCATGCCCGCGCCCGCAAATGCTTAAGGCGTCCATCCGTCAGCAACCGTCGCGGTCCGACGTGGGCGCCACGCTCGATGCGGCCCGCTCGCGCGCACGCGGCGCGGCCAAATGCTGATTGCGTGGCGGCATTACCATGGCCCGGCGCAGGCGGGAGGCGCCTGTGCGTCTGTGCTCGTGGTCCGCGGCGGTCCGTCCGCCACGCGGCCCCGTCAGCCGGCGTCCGCTAACGCACATCAAATTATTCATGGCCCCCCGTGGTTCGAGCGCCGCTCGTCGTTTGGCGGTTGCGTCGGCGTCGACGTGACCCGACTGACCGATGCGTCACGGCTGACTCGGCGTCGCGCCCCGTCGCCGGGAAGTGGGACGCCTCGCCGCGTGTCTTGGCAGGCGTCGCAGCGGGCGGCGGCGGCGCGGGGACTGCCGAAGACATTCCACGGGGCTTCTTGATTAAATTCCATGCCGCTCCAATGGCACGCAAAGTAATCGACTTGCGAGGGAAATGACTGTTTGGATCTGAATTAGCGTGCAGTCATTGTGTGGGATGAGGGAAATCACTGCGTCATCCTGTTAGACTTAACATCTCGCGTTGGGAAAAATCGTCTGGTGGTTCCGTTTAGCTCCCGTTGATAAATGGTTTGAATTCTGATTCAGCGAGCGGAAGACATCTGCATTTCACTGCTAGAATGAGTGTCAGAGTTGTGAATGGAACTGTTTGGGGCGGGAAGCAGTTAAAAAGGAAGACATGGCGACCCAGCTGGCCGCCCTGTCGGATTTAAGGTGGGGTGTGCGTAATGATGAACTGCGTCAGCACGCGCCGGGGTGGCCAGTTGGATACCTTCGCTCGGGTAGGAGCCAATTTGACCCCCTGCTGAGGTTTCAGAAACTCAGAAAGCTAGAGACAGCAGTCACAGGGTGTGTTGGCCTGTATGTGAACTTACTTAGGTCAAAGTTTAAGGTTCCCAGGTCATGGCACTCTGTTCAAATAAGGCCAAACAAGGTCAAGCTATAGGTTGGTGTAAAACGTTCGCTTAGGACCTAGATACCGTTCTAAGCAAAAAGTTACACAGCTCATTTAAAGTCAGTGATCTTGTTTGACCTTTCCGAGGTCATGGTGACGAAATTGATGCAAGCCTGCTTTGGGTTTTGCGTTTGGATATGCAGCATAGGTTACTCTTGGCAGCATGCTTCTAAAAAAGAAACGTTGACCTGGGTCATTATAGGTCAGTGACTTATTCTGACCTTTAAGAAGCCCATAGAAGATGCGAATCCTGATATCAACTGATTCGAAATGAGCACCAGAAAATACTTTATACATTGAGTCCTAAGGTAATAAAACAGGTTGGTTTTTGCATTGGTCTGTTCTTCATGCCTAACCCTAGGCCAATGGAATTTGTTCATTCAATCGTTTTGTTGCCTAAGAAAGTATCTCGGAGATGTAT